CCGAGGCAGCTCTAATGCTCACTATCTGTGTTTGTGGCTTTGGTCAAGCCCGCTACTACCTTTTCCCTCTGTGAGGAATGTTCTGCTCTGGCCGCAGAGACGGCAGCCAAAATTCATCACGTTCACCCCTAAACGCTCGACTCTGAAATTTAGTTCTTCAGAGGCCTTTGGGAAATCTATTAAACTGCAGCCAGAATGGATGTGGTGGAGCTCACTTCCTGTCTCATTGTGGGTTTGGGTTGTCTGAATGGAGGGAGATGCGCTTTTTCCTGCCAACAGCAAACGGGAGATCAAGAGTGAGGAAAGAAGAAGGAGAAGAAGAAGAAAAAACGTTCACTGCTTGGTGTTTTCGACAAAAACGGGGCAAGAAATATGCAGTGAGGTTAAAAACAGCGTCGTCCTTCAGGGGAACGTCAAGATAGATTTTTGCAGCAGTCAACAGGCAGAAAAGGGCTAGGACAACAAAGCTTAAAAATGTGTTTGGAATACAGCGTTTACAGTCAGGGATAAAGATGGCAGCCAAGCGGGTGTGGGGATACCAGCATGGTCAGCCTCTGTGGGATTCTTTTGCTGTCCTTTCTGGTGCAAAGCTCATGTTCTCTCCCACCCAACCCACTGCAGCCCAAACAACACACCACACACCTTCTCCTATTCTTCACAGAGCTACTTGGGGGGAAAATTACCCTGTTCTTTTGTGTCAGTTACTGTGTGGGGAAAAAGGCCCAAATTACTACTGGAAACAAACTGGTAGGCTATTATATTGGGTAGCGAGAAACTGCAGCACATACCTAACAGATTACACAGCAAACCGCAGAGGCAACATGAGCCCAAATAGCCTTCAATGGCTGAACTATGGTGTTCACAGCACATTCAGCTGCATCTTGAGAAAAGCATCCTGTTTTTTCTGTCAAAAGCAAAAAATACTTGTGGCAGTTTTTTATTACTTAGTCTTGGGGTTGAGGAGAATGGAAACGGCTTGTAAACACATGGTACCGTTTAAGAGGCTGCTGCTTACGCTCACCACGGAAGACGTCTGTGCTGTTAACCCACAGACCTGAGTCTTGCCTGCCACTTTCTGATGACCTCCGTGATCTTCGGAGGAATACAGGGCTTTCAGAACCCTGAAACATGTAAGCCAATTTTTTTCAGCTGCTGGAACGACATATTTCAGGTGCAGAAATTCTAAGGTTTCAAACCTGTTGCACCACTCCAAAGCTGAATCAGAAAGCGTCCATTTTGACATCAATAAGTGCCAAGTGACATGCTTTCAGGAAAGAGTGCAAGGAGGAAGGGTGTCCTCAAATTGAACTATTCATGGAAATTATTTTATATATAGTTCAATTAGCACAAATAGCAACATGCTAGGATGTTGAATATTTTTTTTCAGTGACAAGCATTAATATGATTTTGTGGCTGACATGATTCTGTAGTTTTTCTTGCTCTTTTAAATTTCTCAGAACATCTAGTAATGACAAAACATCTGAAGATGTCGATCACCAGACAGCAACGTACACAATCCGTTAGCTATTACTGCGACACGGCCTTGTGCCGGACCTCAAACCCGCGGCGTGTTCGCCCGCCGTTCAGCCGTGCTCTGTTCTGCGCCAGCTTCAAATCTTTTCTTTCTGGTTATGCCAATAAGATTAAATTAAATGTTTTAATCTTGGCCTTCAACCACAAGAAATGCCTTGTCTTTAGAGAGGCGCAGGCTTCATTTAATCCGAAATTGATCATTTTGTTCTGCAATCTATCCCCCCCCCCCCCCCCCCTCACCGTAACGGGCATGCCGAGTCTGATGAAAACCCATGTTAGGTTTGATAACAAGTTCATGCCATATTTCGAAACATTTTCACAGCTGAACTCTTGAGCTTCGTTTCTCCGTATGGATTCACTGTTTTCCTCATTTCTATTTTAACGCTGGTGTGCGCGCAGGCTGGAACGCCCGCAGTCTGAGACCTTTTAATTATTTTCCTTTGTCAAGATTCAAAGAGGCATCTTCCAAGTGAAATAAATCTCAGCTGCTTTCTATAAGTCCTCTGGCCTCAGAAAGGTCTGCGGCGGGGCGCCCTCCTAATGAACCAGAGCCGTACACTTCGCTGCCCTTTGTAGCACCCATGCAGATCTGATAGCCTCGCACCATTTCGCATTTTCTGACACAACACTTGAGCACACACAGAAATCAAAGGGCTTGATCCTTTGTGAAAAGTGCAAAGCATTGTGTATGAAAAATCAAACGTAAAT